TTTAGCGAGTAGGGGGGGGGGCTCTCAACCACAAATGTGTCGAGGGTCCCGTTGCGTCTTTGAATGGATTTTGAATCTGAGCGGAGCAAACTCTGGAGCAGCCTTGTTTCCTCTTCTACTTTCTTCCCATTTCTATCCTTTAAACTAGATTCTCTCTTTCTAAAAGTGGATGCAGGTGAAGTTGACTCTGACCTCGTGTTAAAAAAAAAAACATGACCATGACGTAACACTCTCTGTCGTGTGTGTGTGTGTTTGTGTGTGTGTGTGTGTATGTGTGTGTCTGTGTAACTTTAAAGCTCCCTGACCTCTTGACCTTTCCAATGTGTGCACCTCACTGCTAGATTCTCCTAAGGGGGCCTTCTTCGCACGCCAGGATGGGAACAGAAAGCCTCCAATTACACAAGAGGGGAAAAGACACATTTACATGTAATGTTAAAACCCAGCACAGACTTAACAACTGAGGGTGCTGTGCAACTGAAAAGCACAAAACTGTCAAGAGGAACAGGCAAACTTCCCAAAGCTCTCAAAAACTATTGCATACCAAAACCTCACCTGACGGCGTGATGCTTATCTGAAGAGTCCAGTTTGTACTTGGATGTTAATCCCTTGTGTAAACTCAGTCTAGGTTGTTGACGGACAATTTCTAACCACCTTTTCCAGCTTTCCAGGAATTTGTGAAAGACTGAGAAAGTACAGAAATTGGCAGCTGAAACTGCAAATGAGTGTTTCACTCCATTCTTGGTCATTTAAGATTCAGTTAAGTGCGCAGAGTGAGTGAAAACACTATTGAAAGTCAATTAGGAATGTGTAATGGCTTCAGCGGGGTGCTGGTATGCATGAATGAACACTGACTGTTTCACTGGGAATGAAAATGACAGGAAAATACATTTGTGTTTGCAGTCGCTGTTCATGAATCATTTAAAATAATAGTTCGGGTTATATGATGTGGGGTTGTGTGAGGTGCCTACACATAGTCGGTGTATTACCTGTAGTAGATTCAGATCGGTGTGCTGCCAGATTGGAGAAGTAGACACTGGTGGAAGTAGAGTGGACGGGGTAAGCATTAAAAAAATGCTCACTGAAAAAACGCCAATACGTAATAAGTGTATGCTTTATTTTGAACTATCGTATTCCTACGCACAAGCGCACCTACAGCGCACACAGCTGTTTGAGTCAGAAAGAGCTAATTGTAAGTGTGCTGGTGCGTAGGAATACGGTAGTTCAATGATTGAGAAAATGTAGTTCCCAAGGAAAGGGCTTTTTGGCAGCAAGATAAAGTGGTGAAAATATTCAAAATAAAGCGCGCGCTTAAACTGATGTTTTTTCTGCTGATCCGGTCAACAGCAGCACATCGCTCAGCTTTTATGCCAGTACACGTGTCTACTTCTCCAAACTACTGCAGGTAATACACTGACTATGTATAAGTACCTCACACAGCCCCACGTCTATCACTTTAAGATTCTGCACATGTCTAAAAGCCTGCAGCCATGCTAGCAGCTCTGTGAGGCACAGTTATGCTTAGAGCTAAAACAACAGTATGCTAACATGCTCAAATAGACAATGCTAACATGATATTGTTTAACAGTATAATGTTTTGCCATGTTCACCTTCTTAGTTTAGTGTGTTAGCATGATAACATTTCCCAGTTAGCTCTAAACAAAAAGTGCATCTGAGGCTAATGGAAATGTTAGTTTGCAGTATTTGATCATAAATCAAAAGTAGTGGACAAATCAAAACTTTGACCTGACAACTCAGCTAAACCAAAAGTCAGATGATCCCAAAGTCAGAAGTATAAGAGAACATGAATGTTGTGCAAATTCATCCAGCAGATGTTGAGCTATTTCACTGGATGAGGGAAAACTTTGACCTGCTGGTGGTTGGCTGGAGTGTATTTTTGAAGCATCAGTTTAAAAAAAAGAAAGAAAAAAAAAAAGGTAGGAATTATTTTTCTGTTTTTCTCAGGTAAAGCTCTGCAGTGTCAGACATCTTGAAAGTTACATTTCCCTGTCTTCACCAATCTCTCGCTGTTCCTTTCATACAAAAAAAATTAATAAAAAAAAAAATCACACTTTAAACAAATACATGGCAAATAAATAAATAGATAAATAAATACATTTTCAATAAATATATGGAACAAAAATATGTTTACACTTTTGCAATTATTTCAAAAAGTTTTTGACATTCACATGGCTGGCGCCACCCTCTATTTTGATTTTGCTGGTGGCACACACACAAAAACATTTAAAAAACACAGAAAGACCAGAGCAGAGACAAAGAAAAAGGAATGGAAAGTTAAAAAAAAAAAAAAAAAAAAAAAAAAAAGACAAACAAGCAAAAATTTCATTCTTCATGTGTGGCTCGATTTCCCCGTTTCCCCTCTCTCCAGGCATGTGTGCAGAGTCTTTATGACAAAAGACACAACCCAGTCCTTTTTCTTTTCTTCTCAATTTCCCTCCTGTGAAAAGTTCTACATTTTTTTGTTCTTCTCCTCTTGAGGCTTTTGTTGGGGCTTTGGTAAGCCCTGCACCGTTCTGCATCTATTGTCTAAGAGGAACATGGGAAGGGTTTTGGTTGCCTAATTGTGGGTCTACAAAGATTAAACACTGGGTTGTCCGGTTCGACCAGCCTCTCTATTTTCTATCCACGTTTCCAAGTACTGTAATTTCATGGCTTTTAGTTTTCATCTCAGTTAAAGGACAGGTTCAAATCATTCTTAATACAGTACTCACATGCCAATATATACACTGAAAGAGCTATTGGCCACTGTAATCATTCATCCTCTCCATACTGGCTCTGAAGTGATCCCTTCCTGACAAGAGATAAGATACAAAACAATTGAACAACGCAAAAGTTTAGCTGTTGTTAATATGAAGTTTTAGCAGTCTGAGTCTTGTGCCTCATCTGTAGCATATATTTGAAATTTAATTTTATAGTTGTAAATCTGAATCAGAGATATTGGCACTTTCTGGCAGCTATGGTATCCTCCACCTGGCAGAAATAACTAACTATCTGGGAACAATCCATGAGCACTGCTCTTATAGGAATGATGGTAGAGATGTCTATATATAGCACTATATTTGTTAAGTTTGGGATTAATTACCCTTAACAACGAACTCTGGCTAACATTCGTGACATTATACATCAACGTTTGTTTGGTTTTCAGGCACTTCCTTAGTTGTAAGTTATGGCCCTGGTTGGTCCAGGACTGTCCCGGTTTCAAGGTGGGTTTACCGATTCCCGACAAATATCTGTAAAACACTAAAATGTCCCAAATTGTCCTGGTTTTACAACTAAAATAATAATTATAATATTATACTTGTTTTCAGTGTTTACATAAACATTTATCATGTTCTGTCTCACTCACTATATCATTAGCTACCATGTAGCTAGCTAGCTAATTGGGCTATCACTAGCGCCATGAATTGGTTGAAAACTCAAAATTGTTTTAAAACGAGAACCTTATAAAGTGGTCTTAAATCTACCATGCTAAACAAAGAAAAACAGAGTATGTCTCATGAGAAATCCAAGTTTTAACAGGCCTGCTGTCCCTAGTCTTGGTTGCTAAGATATGATTGGACAACTGCTTTACAGGGGAGGGGTTTAGTGAATCTTAAGACAGCTGAAGCCTCATCTTAGCTGAGGCTGAAAATTATAACGCAATTTTGCACGGAACAATGATTGTGGATTGTGTCCCTTATCTTTCACAGCCAGTATGTACAGCAGGAAAAACTACAATAACTCTTTCATTGTGCACATGGTATATCAATGTTGTATTAAGATAGACTACAACTAATTCTTTAACAAACACAAAAGACTTTCATCGTCATCTCAAAGTGAGCTGAAGAGGCTTTTGGCAACTTGTTCTTTTGTCCTTCCTTTGCAACCACACGGATACACGTTGCTAGCTATCCTCTGTTTCGTCTCTATCTATTCCTCTCCCTTTCTTCCAGTGGGAGTATTTACTTGTGAGAGAATCTACCTGTGGTGTGACTAGTGTCCTGAAAATGGGGCTAAATCTAACTAGCTATCCACTTTTTCCTCCTCCGTTAAAGGCAATATGGTATCATAGCTTTATCAGTTTAATTCAGAAATAATTGTGGGACTTTGATGTTTCTCATACCCTCAAGGAATAGTTGTGTCCATTTTATTTTGATTTTCACCTAGCTGTAGGCCTACATTACGTAGACCACCTCAGATCTATTCTCCGTTATTTCTGTTTCTTGCTTTCCTCCGCTCTCAGACTCCTTGGTTGTTAGAGTACAACATTAAGGTTGCTCATTATTTGTATCATGTCTAAATCGGGTCTCGCTCGTTCTTTTTCTCAAAAGACATCATCGTTTTGTTGCTTTGCTTGCGAATTACACATTTGTCTTCAATTAGAAAGTGACGAGAAGAGAGGAGAGCAGGTTTCTGGTCATGTGACTCATTGTGTTTGGTCAGGTGGTGCTCAGGAGACTTGATGATCCAGGCGACATTTGGCTGGACAGGAAATGATAGATGAGAATGCATTGAAGTGCTTTGTAATTGGCCAGCATCTTCCTGTACCATTTTGACTAACTGACGGGACGTTTTCTGTCACATTTGAACCACGTGTTGCATGTGATTGGTCGGTGGGAAGGTAATGTGCTTTCTTTAATTGGTCGGAGTGGGTGAACCGTGTGTTTCCCCGGCTGTGAGCTTTTTCATGTATTTCTCTGGTAAGGTGGGACTGTTCGGACATCCTGTCTTTAGCCTCGTCCCTCTGGGGTGAAGCTGCCCTTGAAGGCTGACAAGAGATCAGCTCGACCTGTGTCCGCCATTTCTGCTAGAATCAGCCATTTGCGGGGAATCCTCCGTCATATCCTCAGATCAGCTTCAAGGAAAAACTTCCCCCTCCTCCATCCCATTGCTAGGGAGTAATGGTAGGAAGCAAGGCAGGAAGTAAGGAAACAGGTAAGGAAACAATGTGGGAAGGACGGAGGGAAGGAAGAGAGAAAGGCCTCTCTTCCACAACATTCTTCTCAGGGATGAGACTGGGTCCCGTTTGACGATGAGAGGAGTCTGGTCTTGTCCTTCCCTGACCCTCGCCTTTGTAAGACGGTGCTACTGCTGCTCCCACTTCCGCTCCCCCCATCCGCTGCACGCTCCCTCTCTCCCCGCTCCCGATCCGATCCACTTTCAGAACGCCGAGAGTTCTGGCGCGAAGGAGTGCTGGGCTGGCGGGAAAGCTGACCGTTCCTCTCATCTGAGCGGCAAGAGGTGAAATCAGGGAGAGAAGGAGTGAAACAAACCAACTACTGGTACATGTAGTGAATATATGTGTGTGTGTGTGTGTGTGTGTGTGTGTGTTTGTGTGTGTGTGCGTGTTACACACCAGCCAGTGCCTGCACAGAGGGCTGATCATGAGTACTCAGGAGCTGAGCCTGAATGGTTTCCACCACTCTTTTGAATCTGCGACTGGGACCTGAGAGGAGAGAGGATCAGCTCGTCAAAGATTTAAGGTTGCCCTGGCTGAGAGAGCATTTTTTTTAAAGTCTAGAATTAAATTGGGAGAAATTCAATCTGAAGCATATAAAGTGAACATACACATTGAAACCATATTCCATATATTCCAGGCAATAACTTTTTTGGCCACTTGGGGGCAGCGGAAACGAGCTACGTTTCTGGCCACCTAGTGAATGAAAATCCTTTCAGCTCTGTTATTGATCTCTGTTTACAGAAGAAAATGTCTCTGTTCTGAATCTGTGTTCATGAGCTAGTTGCTAACTTTGTCTGTCTGCTGGTTGGTGCAGGGATGGTAGCCTGCAGGTGCCTGTTTCAGCTGAAAACAATGCTATGGTAGTGATGACAGTAAGACAGTAGGGTTATGTACGGTGGCCCTGAGAGCTCAACACGCTGGAACTTCAGAAAACTCATGCAAATAGACAAAACACAATGAAATTCAGAAAACATCCTCATCGTGTGCATGAATGTATTATAATACATCCAGTCACAGCTTCAACAAGATACTGTGACCACACCTCTGGCCTCTGCTACTGAGGGAGGGGAGGACAACTTAGAAAGAAAAGTAGCACACTGACATACACATGCTCACCTTATATGCTATGTTACCAATCCTGTCTCTGTCTCTCACCCTTAAACATATTCTTTTACCTGCTATTAGAGTGAAGGTGACGCTGTAGATGCCCATCTCCCTTCTTCCTTCCCTCTCCGCTCGTTCCCTCTCTCGCTCTCTCTCTCCCTCGGAGAAAGCAATGTCCACCTGTGTCCACCAGTTTTCACATTAAAAATAGTCACAGCCATTTCTGCATATCTGATGGTATATGTTTCTGTTTGTGGAAACAGTAACTGTAGCGTTTTGCGGACTTTATGTAAATATACTGTATTACGGTTTTATTTCTTACATTTTTCTCCTCTATTTGCATCGATAAACCCTGACTGTTGTATAATAATATGTCTAATATTATTTCATGTGATTATAAATAAAGATTTAGAGGTAGAGGAAGAGGTATTTGCTTTTATTTTAGTTTCATAGCAGCTTTATACTTTGTTAAATTGACAAAATAAGAAGTCAGAAGCTTCTTGAAAGCATCTGTTTCTGCTTCATTCAACACTTCACTAAATCTACATGTACTGTGTTTAATGCCTAAAATAAAACACTCTGAAATGCACAGAAATGTTGACTAGAATTTGACCTAAACTTTTATCAGCGCTGAAAAGATTCAAAAATAAAATAATACCTGGAACTTGACAGGCTTCTGGAAGACAGAGGGGCCACCAGAGGACTTGTACTCTGCCCGGAAACTGTTCTGAGACACCACGCTGTGGCTGAGGGACGGGATCTGGACAGGCCAGAGAAAAGGGGTAACGTTTGGCAAAAAAGCAGATAAAGTAATGCTGGCAGTCGCAGGGGCTTCTCTGAGCTCGATTGTACTCACGGAGAGAAAGGCGTGGACGATGTCAGCCTTGATAGAGCTGAGCGGCTTGTCTCGAATCAAAACAAAGATCTGCTCCTCTTTCTCCAGGCTGATGAAGTTCCCAAACCAGGACCTCTTGGCCAGTCTGCAAATAAACAAATGTTTCACACTTTATTTTACTGACGTCAGTGAACTCACACTGCATTTATGTTCAAAATTACATTCACAGGACAGATCAAGTAAGGAGCCGTAACTTAATTTGATCTGGTGTCGAGAAATAGTACAGAGCTACGGGGAGATTACTGACGCCTCTTGGTCTGCCAGTACAAGAAAACACAAAGTCTCTGCTAGCAAACAATGCTAGAAAACTGCAGATACGTTAGCAATAGCATTCATTTGGAGTCATGTTTCTGGCCACCTCATGAATATTCGACCAGTATTCACCCTGCTTTTAGCTTTGTTGATCTTGTTAACTGAGAAAAATACTAACAAAAATGTTCGGTCTAAAGCTGACAAGGCAGTTTGTACTCAGTCAGATCAAGTTGATTCGGGATCTTGAAACCTTGAAAGCTCCAGAACAGCTACTAAATGGACCGTGTGTTGAAACTGTTTTGTCAGCTAACATAACAAACTGTTGTTGTTTTGTATTCGACAGAACAAAAAAGACAGATAAACTGGGACGTGTGGGAACTTACTCTGGACTGGACTCTGGAGTCAAACTGGACATGTCCTCTGATGTAGGGACTAAAAAAAAAGAAAAAGAGAGAAAGAAAAAGGAGAGACAAAAGGAAAAGGGCAGTGAGTCTCTCAAATTAAATTACCCTAATTACAAATGATCACAGAATCATACATTACTCAACACAGCCACAGGCTTGTTTCTTGGTAATAATAGATTCTATCTTGGATACAGATGCAGAATAGGATGAATCTGATTGTTTAAACTGTTGCCAGAGCATTAAGTTCACACTTGTGTGTCTTACCCCTTCTGTGGAACTGTAATGTCTACGCGACATAGGAAAGTGGACCCTGGGGTGAGATTGGCTACAGCTATCGGAGATGTCGCCAACTTCCTCACCCGCTGAGCCCTGATTGGAGCAGCACCTGGTCCAGCCCACCGATTAAGCTGATCCTGGCAAGCCTGTCATTCAGCGCAGCTGACAACCACAGATCGTCAACGCACCTCCTGTGATTGTAGGACTTTGCTGAGATTGTTTCAGACTTTGTGAACTAGCATTGAGGTACGAGTTGGACTATTTGAGGACTGGGCGCGGGCTCAGAGAAAGCTACAACTGTCAAAACTCTTTATGTTTCGACCCACTAGGAGCAGGGGTGCTGTTTGGCTGTTTTGTTTGGTTTGGTTTTATTTCCAATCTGGCAGTTACATCTGGTTCCATGTTGAGCTGGGTTGTAACAAATTAAAACTCATTTTTAAGACGTAACATTATCTCGACTAATTAGTGGAGAGGATTCACACCAAATTCAGTCATCGTTCACTTTGTCTTCAGCTTCGCTCACCTTGCAGTTTGCGCCGATGGAAGCGTGGCGAGCCCAGCAGGTTGTTTTTGAATGAGTTGAGCCTTGTTCTCCAGTGGGCGGAGCTTGAGGCGGCCATCCCGCCACTGCCGCCCGGGCTGGAGGGCGGGGTCAGCGACAGCGATGCCCCGCCGGCTCCGTCTGCTCTGGAAGAAGAAGACGACGAGGAAGAGGAGGGAGGGGTGGTGGAGGAAGGGTGTTGGATTTGGTGCACAGGCGTGCCCAGTGGGGTGGGTAGTGGTGAGCCCTGTGGCGTGACCTGCGAAACAGGAGGAGGGGTGGCAGAGGAGTTAGAGGACGAGTGGACGTTCTTGGACTTGAAGACAGATGGAGAGGGGAAGTTGAAGAAGCGTGGGATGGGAGAGAGGAGCGGGGATGGAGATGGGGAAGGGGAACGTGGAGCCTGAAGAGGGAGGGACTTCATGGAGTGAAGCTGGGGCCGTTCAGCGGGGCCCTTTGAGGGCAGGGTCTGGGTTTTTGGGTCAGGCGTTGGGCGGGTAGGCCGAGAGGTGGTAGCACTTCCTGGTTTGGGGTCTTTGGAGGAGGAAGCGGAGGTGACTTCTGATTGGCTGAAAGTGAAGACCGGGCTCTGATAGGCAGACAGAGAAATATGGGGAGAAGGAGGGAAAGAGGGATGGACAGAAAGTAATGGTCATGAATTATGATTCATGGACACAATTCTTCAACAAGCCTCGATCAGATGTACCAAAGGGAATCTGAATTTTTATCTCTAGCCTTAGATACAATTATGTGTGTGCGTTTTAGTCCTTTTCATTGTCCCCATGTGTACACAGACTTTTGTAGGAGGCAGCACAGTGTGTCCATGAAATGAGAATGTGCATGGCTGACAATGTGATACTATGATGGAGAAGCATGACCAGCAGTGACAGTCTGAGCCGGAGAGAAAATAGATCATCACAGGAAATTTGTTTTTGTGTTTTTGATGGCCAAAACTGATATTTATATAATGAAGCAGCCGATGATGTTTACTATAGTGTGTCGGCTATATGCTGTTAATGTCCAATAGAATTGATACTACTTTCATGTTTGTACTGTAAATATAAAGCTTCTAGCAGCAGTCAGTTAATTTACATACTGAAAGGTCCATATTTTACACCTTTCCTGTGTTACATTTGAAGCGTTGATCCATAAGTGCTAAGCTAAGAGAACCAGCTGCTGGTGGTTGCCTCATATTTACAGTGCAGACATAAGAGTGGTATTGATCTCATGTAACTCAGGTCAAATCCTATTTCTTACTCTGGTTATTGATACATGATGCAGTCAGTAAACATCAGTGTCACAAACGTATAACATTAAATAATGCACGCTGGAGAAATATGGCATTAATACAGCAGTTGCTTCTGTATGTGACTAAATGTGATTGAAATGCTTCCTTCACTGCGGTGCACACAGAAAAATGGAGGTAAAGTCGACCAGAGAGGAGAAAAGAAAAGCTCTGATAATGTAAAGTAGAGTTGAACAGAGCAGGGTAGAACAGAGTAGAACGAAGCTCTTACCCTGGGACTGCTGATTGGACTGGAGGACAGACCTGTGGACGCCCCGCTGACTGAACGAGACCTTTTGAAGACAGCAACAAGAGTCATCGAGGTGAATCAGACATTCAGCAATCAAAAGACCATTCTGTAGTTTATAATCTTAAAGTTATGATTATTATTCCCATGTGTAATTGTGATATTAATTTGACTACTGCCAAAATTTTCAATCAGCTAAAAAATGTCATGATACATTAGTGTTGGTTCATACCTCTGGCTGTGTGCATTAGTGTCCAGGGCCCTGCGAGGTGGCGTGGGAGACCCCTGTTCTGTGACACTGAGGACTTCCAGACTCTTCCTCTCTGGACGACAGCGGCCATGACGTGTCAACATGGGGGAGTCCACACGCTTCCTGGGCGGGTCTTGGAGGAGAGAAATATTATTAAAAGAGGATGGAAAATGGAGATGGGAAAAAATATTTACATCTTATAAAGTTGTAAAGTTTGAACTGTATTTATGGTGAAAGAGCAACACTTCTCACCAACGTCATTTCTGGGTGGCAGATCCTCGTCCTCACAGCTGGGGTATCGCTCCTTCCTGTCCAACAGGAGGTAGTAGATCATCTTCTCCTGGTTCTCCCTGCAGAAAGAGACGCAGAGAGACACAGAGATCAAAGGTTAGAGACAAAGACAGAAGACACAGAAAGATTGAGGCTTTTCAGGGTCGTCACAACTCTTCTGACAACTATTGAGTGTCTGTAAATAATGGCAAAACTTGTAATTACTGGCCATTGCATTGTTTCAAACTATTCAACACAGTTCTCAGTTGACATTTTTGTTTTGCCTTAATTAGCCCACAAACTAATTTAGCAAAATATCTATTGTTAATGTTAACAAGGGTCACCGCAACTGTAGCACAATTTAAACCTGCTTTTATAGATCTGGCCACTCGGGGCAGGGTAACAACCTGTAAAGATAACATTGACATACTGGCACCAAAGTCCAACTGAAATCACATTTCCTTATCCCTTTTTATAGTCTGAAATAATTGTTGACAGTATAGTATTTTTAAAAGAAAGCAAAATGGTCTCTGTGGAAATATCAGAAATACTCCTTTTTGTTTACATACACAACATTCGCATTTTCAGCTACTTATGTACCAGTCTAAAAGAAACATTTCAAGTTCAGGATTCTTCTTTTCTTTTACTCAAAGCTAACCAGCTAGCTCTGGCTCGGTTGGCTAATCTTATCAATTTCCGATACCGAGTCACTGTCGCATCCAGTCTGCCCTGAATACGTAGTGCTGCTCAGAGGGCGTATTATAACCTCTTGTATTATAAATGCAATGATGGTTGAAGCTCTTGACAAGGCTGGTAAGTAAACAGTTGTTAATGGCAACGTTGACTATGTAGCAATAGCCTTCACAAACCCGCCCTCAACTGACGATCTGAAGACCAATATTTAGCTCTATCATGGGTTCTCACTATAAGGGCGGCTCTCCACTGTGTTCACCAGATAGTCGCTAAAGTTGTCTGTCTGCTGTTTGTTGCTGGGCAGGTAGCACCTGCACACATAGTCATTTCATCCCTGGTTACTATAAAAATATTTATTGGTGCAGCTTTTAATCTGAATGCCTCACATTTGTTTGCTTTTCTTGTTGAACAGGACTGCACTACTGCTGCTGCTGCTGCTGCATTGTGAATAGTGAGAAGTCAGATCAGTTTGGAATATAAAGGATGGGCGGACAAAAAGAGAGAGAGAGATAAAAGAGGCATTGTTGATATTGTTGCTCTTGTTCTTGTCATTCCAGGCAGATTAATGATGTAAGTAACTGACTGGCCACAACAAGACAAAAAACACAATGAGAGAGAATTTAGTTAAATATACACACAATTATAACTTTTTTATTTTAGCATGAATACAAGCACACCTGTATTTGCAAACTGCATATGGCCTCAGCGAGACTTCATGTCTGTGTTCTGTGTATATTAAACTCATAGGCAGGGGTCAGTAGATACAACTGAGACATAGCTGTATGTTTACCAGCCGTGGTAGTGAGGCTGGTATTGTTTTCACCTTGTCAGACTGTGTATGTGTGTCATCATGGCAAAGTGTTGTCCTGGAGACACCTACTATAGCGGGAACTACCACAGAGACAGTTTTGAATACTTTGGCAGGTGTTTATGTCTTTGCCACCACGATAGTGTCACAACCATGAAAGATACCGTCACAAAACTTTACAGGTGTGTGGTTAAGATCGATATGAAGGCCACGTTTGAAGATGGGTGTAGTCTGACCCATGAGTACTGAGCTCTCATGTATGTACGGATTCTTATTGCCTTATATCACAGCATATTTGCTTCTCAACATTTAAAGTGGAAATGTTTGATGGGTTATATTTACTCACTCCTCACTTGTAAGGTCCTGTGTGAGTTTGACCCGGTCTCTGAAGCACCCTAAAGAGTACATGCTCTCCAGCACGTCAGGGTCCAGCTCTGTTAAGGACAGGATCCTCTTCACACACACACGACGAGGAGGCGGCTGCTCTGGGCAAGGCTCATTACGACCACTCCTGACAGGAAAACATCAGTGTGTGTAGTTAGTATGTACAGTTAGACACATTAGGTTCTAACTGTAAAAGTTCACAGCAAGCATTGATAGACAGTAAGGTCCTACAATACACAGATTTAATGTCCACTGAGGGAGAAGTAAATGTAAAATTCCCAACAAAGGAAGGATACCAATATAGGTTGGTATGACACTAGGCTGATTTAATTCAAAAATGAATGTGCAACTTACTGGTACCAGGCGTGTTTCTGTATTGCTTCTAGCTGTAATCATAAAAAAAACAAAAAAACAAGACAGTATTAAAGCACTGATTGACATGAAAACATGCCCTCCCATTGTTACAGCTGATTTAACCCTGCAATAACAGCAATAAAATAAAGACGAAGCGTCTACTGTACAACTGAACACTGGGCGAACACTGCTTATGGAAGGCTTAAGCTTGTAATGTTTAGTTTAGCTGCTCTGGAAAGTTGCATATGTGTTTCAGGAGCCTTTTAAAGTTTTAATGTGTCCAATACTTTGGTTTATGAGCAAATACCTGCAAAGCGAATGACATTCCCATCAGCCTCAGCTGTGCTGTGTTTAGTGCTAATTAACAAATGTTAGCATGCTGAGTGAGATGGCGAACATGGTAAACACTACACCTGCTTCACATCAGCATGTTAGCATTGCCACTGAAAAGATGGCAGCATGCTGACATTAGCTTTTAGCTCTAAGCACCTCTGTGTCTAAGTAAAGCCTCAAGGCCACTAGCTGCAGGCTGTAGACTCCTGCTTCTACATTTCATGACCCCAGGAGAAGTTTACTCCAGCACTCCTAAATCCCCTGGTGCATTATATACTCTGTACAAGTCCCCTCTCTGCATTAGGACTGCATACAGTGTTAGCCATCGCATCAGTGCTGCACAGTGTCTCTTGGGGAGTGGAGTACTTGAACAGCTGCAGTTCTGCAATAATGTAAAAAGTCAAAAGTGGGGCTACCGTGAACACTATATTTGTGCATCTGCAGACAGGAGAGTGGCTTGCAGCTGCACGCAGTCAAAGCTTTGCATTCGTTAACTCGGTTATGAAGTGCTATATGCTGCACAGAGGAGACACTCCAACCCACTCCCTAACCGATAAGAATATGATGAAAAACTGAAGATGTCCTGGTTGGTTTCCTAATGCTCTGCTTGTTAACTGAAGATATTCTGGTTTGAAATCTGTCTCCTTGCGTAGTGGGTGGTTTCCATGGAGGGAACTAGCAGACAGGCAGACAGAGAGAGAGACAGTCTGACCTGGTTTCAGGCTTCATTAATCAACAGCTCTTCAGACAAACCCACAGCTTTGATTAAATCTGCTCTGTTTTAGCCGAATGACTAACTGACCAGACTTTTTCCTTTCTTGTCCTTACTTTACAGCACCATGCCAACCACATTATCACAGTTGCCTCTGTCTTTTCTGTCTGATAACCAGGAATTCATTTCCAACCCCACACGCCTGCTTTATCCCAGCTTCCTTTTATAACCTGCAGCCGAGTGCAGTGGAATTTCTTCGAGCAGTCCTTTCACTCAGTCATTCATTTATTCATTCACTCACCCTCCCCTCCCCTCCCTTCTGTCTCTCCCTGGACTGACAGTCTCTTTTCAAGCCTTGCTTTCAGTATGGAAAGTTGACATTTGGGTGAAAAGGAAAAGAGCCTTCTTTTCAGCAACTTCATCCATCCATCCATTCATATTGTACATGCATATACCTTTCTTCCTCCCTACATCCTCTCTACATCTTGGTCTCTTCTCCTCGTAAACTGCTAACTTTCCTCTGAGGACGGAAATAAAAAGTCCTGTCGTGGCTGACTAGACCTCCTCCTGCCTGTAAGCAATACCTTAAGCTCATCCTTGCGCTCTGTTCCTTCCACCTTCCTCATCCTCTCTCCATCGTCCTCCCTCTGTCAGGGTTCATTTCTGTCACATCTCGAAACAAAGCCTGGGGCTGGGGCTTTTATTTTCTTTCCTTCCTCCCTGTTAAATGCCAAGCTTATGCTTGGTGTGCTGTAGAACTGATGTGGTGCAACACGAGCAGCAACGATTGACCATTTGAAAAGCCCCAACCCAGGTAGCAAAATAAATCCAGCCCATGCTTGTTTTCTGCACGCCTGGTTCCACGCCCCATATACAGCATGATTGTCAGATACTACAACCACATCTGGGCCTATTCTGGCGTACACACACTAAATCTTGCGGCTGTCAATACCGGAGTATAACAGCCAGAATCTGCACAGATATGGGCCAGACTCGGGCCGAGGACCCAGGCGTATGTTGGGCCAGATGTTTCATTTTGCTATCTACCTTCTTATGTCCTGCTGCTATGCCTGGAAGGAGATTTACCTCTTAGATTTCTGTATAATTCCTGGAACAATTAGCCCTTTATTTCAAACAGAGGCATACAAAAGCACATTTCTAGACAGTGACCAATGTTTCTGTCGGCTGAAATGACAACTCTTGCAGACAGATTTTACCAGCTGTATCGAGTTTTTTTTATGTTTTACAGTGGACTTGTTTTAAAAGGAGAACCCTATAAAAGAGTCTTGGCTGTATACAGGATATTGTGCTAAAAGACTGAGGCTAAAGCTGCATGTCCCAGACAAAATTTCAGCATCCCCACCAGTGGATGATCCATATGGAAGATGTGGAAATAAAAAAAATAAAAACAGTATTGTTCTTTTATTGCAGTGTAGAGCTAGTTAATCCTTGTATTGCTAGGGAGGCTCAGATTGTATACTTATAAACAACTCAGAGATTATATTTTCACTTTTAACCTTACAAGAGAAAAGCTTTTAGGACATAGACTCACTAACGGGTTTGCGCTAACATAATGCTATCTTGGGCAACATTGTTTGTATGGTTGGTTGATGCAGTGAAAACTTCCTGGAATGCAATAAAGAGCAGTAGACAGCTGCTAATGTCCAGAGCTGGTACGACAGGAAGTCGCCACCACAGGGAACACTATCTGAGGGGTTAACAGACTTCAACGCAAGACCATGGGTATGCTATTTTAACATGACCTGTAACCCTACAAAATAATGTATGTTCGTCCAGGCTCCTTGACCCTATCAGTAAGGCAGGTGTACAGCTGTTGGTAGTTAGCACATCGGGTCGGGAATGCTAACGTTTGCAGCTATGGCAGCACTTTGTTTAATTCATTCTTAACACGTATGCTCTTGTGTTGTTAGTTTTGGAAAATCCAAGCTCTAAACACACTGAGTATCACTCTTACTACAGCCCCATGCCCCAGAGATCTAAATCTTGACAGGTCAGCCGGTTGCTAAGCTCTGACTTTTTGCATGAGTTTTGCAAATGGTCAGTTTTGTTCATCATGGCCACGATTGTGGATGTGATGGCTGCTCTTCTGGGTCCTCTGTGAGGAGTGCACCAAAATAAATATACAGTACCTTCAGTAAGTAGGCTCATGTATACTGTTTCACTCTTTGACTTGCTGAGTCATGTTGATAGTGTCTGATATTCCTCTCCTCCCACTGACTGACATGATGAAACAATGCCCCTATACATACATTAGATTTTTCTACAATAGATTATTTTTATTGATCATTTTTTGCCAATATCCTCTATTATTGTACAACCTACTCAAAATGTCATATCTCATCATTGCACTGCAGTGTATTGACACTATAAATGAAAACGTGCATCTCATTTTGTACCTCATCAACTTCGACAATGGAGTTTTATTATTGTTCATTGATGGATCCACGGACCATGACCCTGCCACAGACCCAGACGTTCAAAGTGCATCCCTTCTTTAAGGGTTTTATTTTTCAGTCTCCCTCCTCCCCACGATCTCCCCCTCCTCACCGTGAGTCTCTTGTCAGGGTTGACTTCTATCATCCCCTTCAGCAAAGCTTGGCAGTCAGGAGGTATAAAGTGGGGCATGTGGAACACTCCGCTCTTCACTTTCTCTAGAAGCTGCCGCAGGTTGTCGTGGTCGAAGGGCAAGGCACCCTGGGAAGGGATGGGGAGACACAGGGAGAGGAAGAACAATGATGAGAAAAGGAAACGACTATAGGACTGTATATTTTTAAAGATAAAGGAATAGTTCAACATTTTGGGAAATACTTATTCGCGTTCTTACAGTTGGTTAGCTTAGCTTAGTTTAGCTTAGCTTAGCTTAGCGTAAAGACTGAAAACAGGGTGAACAGCTAGCCTGGCTCTGTCCAGAGGTAACAAAATCCACCCACCAGCACCTCTAGAGCTGACACATGAACACGTTATACTGTATGTTGTTTGTTCAATCCGAGCTTTAGAGGAGCTTGTGGGCGGATTTCGCTGCCTTTGTCAAACTAATCCTTTTAAGGTACCCTGTGGAGTTTTCTTGCAGACAAAGATAGCTACGTCTTTACAAACTTCATTGTATCTGTATTTTAAAAAAATGTATTTTTTGCCTCTGTGTTCACTAACAGCCTTTTTCTTCCCTGTTTTGTGTTGGTGCACTGCTACGGTTGTTGGCACGTTACCACCGCCAACTGTCAATCAGGAAAAATGTGTGAAATCGTGTATTGTGTGGCCCACACGCTCACGTATCCTCACAACCCTCACAAGGGCCGTCGAGCACAAGATACAAACAAAACAATTCAATCATCAAAACGTGGCCAAAAGCTCCATGAGGTACCTTTAATACTGCATACTGATAAGCTGACAGTCGGACTTGCAAGAAAACCATGTATAAAGTTCAATGTGAATATTGTTCTACACGAGATGAAAGGCAGGAATCAAAGGGGAAAGACGAGCAGCTAATAACTGGTAGAAAAAAAATAATAAAAGGATGTTCTTACCACAAGAAGAGCAAAGAGGATGACTCCACAACTCCAAACATCTGCCCTGCGACCATCGTACTTCTCCCCCTGATACATGAACGCAAGGACAGGGAAGCATTAGGAATGCAAACACACACACATACACACACACACATACACACACACACACTCAGAGGGAGGTAACTTACCCTTATGACCTCTGGGCAAGCATAATGCGGGGATCTGTAAAGACAGAAGAGGGAAATGATTAAATGATTGAATTCACGTGTGCATAGGGCGCTGATTAATGTGAAACTCTAGCCTGAGTGTACAAAAAACAAGCACACCTGCTCTTTTATCCATGGAGTAGAGTGAATAGGTGAATCCAAGTGAGAGCTACAATCCCTTACTAATTTTATCTGTTAAATCCATGTTCCTCCTGACGGGCAGATGGTTTAAAAATGTTTAAGCTTCTGATGAATAAAGCTATTGATTATGTAAAAAAGAAGCACAGTAGGGCATGAGTGGATGTTCCTAATGTTCTGCACACATGTTGATGATGTATCACACATATGGAGACAAGCAAGAGTGAACCTCGTACTCACCCACAACTGGTTTCCAGCAGGCTGTCTCCGACTTGTAGCGAGGCCATGCCGAAGTCTGCTATCCTGATGTTGTTCTTCTCATCCAGGAGAAGATTCTCTGGCTTCAGGTCTCTGTGACTGCACACACACACACACACACACACACACACACACACGATATTTAAGTAGAGTTTGATGACAACTGTACTGTTACTTGAGTTGGATTTTAAATGCAGGATTTTAACTTGTACTGGTACTATTGTATTTTAATGTTTTTTCCACCAGTAAAGAACCTTTCTTTGTGTGACTCTATAGTCAGTATGAACAACTCCATCAATGTGTTGCATTAAATGATAGCAGAGGATCTAGGAATTATTTTCTAATAGCTTATAAAATAAATGACTTATGAATCAATTTAAAGAAGATATAACGGAAAGTGTCTCACAGACCATATGGAGTGACTGTGGCAGAAGTCGAGGGCAGAGATGATTTGTCTGAAGAACTTCCTGGCCTCTTTGGGGGTCAGCCTGCCCTTCTTCACCAGGTAGTCAAACAACTCTCCGCCAGACACATGCTCCAAAACCAGGTACCTGAGAGAGACAGGAGGGCAGCGAGGTCAGAGAGGTGAAAACAAGGGAAGGGACATTCATGCTCTTAAGTCACTGCTGCCTCCTCTATACATGCAAAAGCATCCACACTTAAAAACACACTCACAACCTTGTATATCTTTAATGTCATGTGGTTATTTATCTCAGTCTTGTCTTACAGAAGCTTTTTTCCCTTTCAGATTCAAGGTTGTTTCTGCTCTGGCAGAGACCCAGAGAGAGAGGATTGGAAAAAAAAAAAAAAAGTCAGCAGAAAGAAGAAAGATAAAGAAATACTCACAGATATTTGTTATTCTCATAGACATCATGCAGCTTCAGAACATGGGGGTGCTCTATTAGTTTAAGAATAGCTATTTCTCTCTCCACCTGGATAGACAGAGGGAGGGCGAGATGTGGAGAAGGAGAGAGGAGGAGGAGAAGGGAGGTTAAAAATGATGGGAACGGAAATATAAAAAGGAAGAAGGAAGTATATATCAGAGTTAGGTAGAATGTGGAGCAGAAGGAGACAGTATTAAATGTTTCTGTAAGTTTTTTAGTATTGACTTCAAGGCAGAAACAAGTTTAGTAAATGCAGGGTCATGTACCACCGCAAGCTAGCACACCGTTTAGCTACAGACATATTTAAAAGTAAAGTTGTACTAATTTTTATATAAACAATGAACTTAATAACTATGTTTCATGTGCCACTCTTATAGACAAACCGACCAACTCTGCAGCTCCTCTTAGCTTCTTTTTAGCTTCATTGCCCACAACCTTTCTCTTTTCTGATGACAACACGGTTTACAAACCAGCTGTAAGATGACTGCCTAGCATCAAATCTCAGATAGACAAAGTTAGCGACCAGGTGCTGAACGTAGCTAGTGAAGCATTTAGCAGCTAACAAGCTGGATATTTCCCTCAGGAGCTGGTTCAGATCAAAACATAGCTAAAAGATGAGTGAGTGTTAAACTTAAATTTCCTTGGTGGTGGAAAAACAGCTCCAAATGAATGCTAATGTTGCTCCTTGTCTGCTCTGCTAAGATTACTAGTTGCTGATATTAACTTTAAAATGTGAAATTATGCTTATGTTGTGTTTACAACCTGTCGTAGTTATGACAGATAAGACATAATCTGTTTATCTATGATATGATGAGCAGGAAGACAAAAAAGCGACAAAGCCACATGTAAAGCACCAACATTAAAAAGCTACTTCACTTCCTTGTAGTGGTCCTTTACCTCTTTGTAAGTTTTGCTATTGCTAAATAGCCAGTGTTAGCATTAACAGCTGTTTACTTACCAGTCTTGGTAAGAGCTTCAGTCATCATTGCATTTACAAGTCAAGAGGTTATAATATGCCCTCTGAGCAGGGCAATGCAGACTGGACGCTCCAGTGACTCGGCATTGGGAAGTGACAAGATAGTGTGATAGTCTGGTTAGCATGCTAACTTGAGTAGAGGAAAAGAAGTGATAGAAATAGAAGCACAAAAAGAGGTTTGCTTTCAACCAGTGGAGACAGTGAGTAAAGGAATTAGGTTTTTTTCTAGACTGTTAAGTAAATAGCTGTTAATGCTAACATTGGCTATGTAGCAGTAGCAAAACTTACTAATAGCTCCTTTCAATGTGCTTTAGCTGACCTTCCCAGCCAAAGCTAACAGGCAGCAGCCCAGCAATGCAGTTACTGGCAGTTAGCAGTAGGCAATGGGCAACTTTCCAAAGCAATACAAATCAGCACTACTGTATAAACCAGAGGACTGAGGACCAGAGGCATGACCAGGGCTGAAAGGTGACTTTTTTTTTTGCACTTGTTACCAATATCTGTCATCCGGTCAAAGAAATAAACTGAAATTTTACCAATTTTATGTGGTTTAACCTACAGAAACGTATCTACAAGTGTCTGATTCTCTAATCCCAGGTTTTAATTAAATCATTGTTATTGAGATACTGATATATTTGTATGTACTAAAACAAATGATACCACAACATCTTCCTTGTTTCTAAAGTTTTCCCTGCACAACCTGCTGTGTTTTAAAAAAAAAAAGAAAAGACAAAGACTGCACAAAACTTCAAGTAATCAGCCACATTAGAAACACCAGCTTATAAAACCTATTTAATTATTTTTTTTATTTCAGTCCAGTGTGTTTCAGCTGCAGCAGCTTTCATCAGAGGGGCTTAATTAGCAGACTGAAATCATCTCTATTGTTCGGTACACAGAAGCAGTGCCCACACACTCGGCAGCTCCAAGTTACAACACACTGATGGGCTTTTCTTGACAAAAATAAAGACTCTATTTCTGTAGGTTGGAGAGTGCAAGCCTAACATGATTTGAGCCTATAGCGACCATAATTGCTGCCAGACTACTGGCCCAGTCGACGCAGCGCATAGATAGATAGATAGATAGATAGATAGATAGATAGATAGATAGATAGATAGATAGATAAGTGCTGTACCTTCATTAGAACTGATTCAGAGAGTTTCTCTCTGTTGACAATCTTTATGGCCACCTTCTGTCCTGTTATACAGTGGACACCCAACTTCACCAGCCCTGCAGATCCAAAGAGGAAGAGAGAGAGGGAGAGAGGGGAAGCAAATGTTTGAATATCAGAAATCAACATTCAGTGTGAAAACTGGAAGGAAGGGGTGTCATAAATAATTCAAAAGGCTTTACTGACATTGTCACAAACATTGGCCAAACTCAGCTCAACAAAAGACTGATTGGAATATTTGTTAGAGGCCCGCTGATGTCTTCTCCCTCACCAAATACTAAAAAATGGACCCTGTAATGAATTTCAGATCGTAGCAGAATAAAACCACTGAAGATAAGAAGACATGCAACAAGGATGATGATTAAACCATGAGCTCTGAATATCATAGGAATGTTAAAGGGTGTGTAAGACCCTGGAATCAGCTGATGCACCTCGCAGACAGTCTTATCTGCCTTGCTGCAAGACTCGAGGTAATGTAGGAGGTTCCTACCTGTCTGTCCCTTCCCGAGGGTCTTCTCCAGCCTGTAAGGCCCCACGTACTGGCTGGACTGGCCCACCGTCAGCTCCTTGCTGCTCATCCTTCCCGAGATGAAATTCCTATTCCTGATATAAGGCAGATCAAGATAGTGCTCGGTGCTGCTCCGTGCGTAATGCCGTAACGCACATCACAGTCGGCGGTGGAGAGGAGAGGAGAGGAGAGGAGAGGATAGGAGAGGAGAGGAGAGGAGGTGCGGAGGACTGGTCGTGATCTAAAGCCGGGCCCTGCAGGCTACTCCCATGCACTTGTTTGTCATGCGGTCAGGTCCGTGCTGGGAGTTTCCACTCTATAAGGCCTAGAATAAAGTATTTTCCAGTACCGGGTTGTGTCTCTTTCACTACAGCAGCATCATTCAGAGGGAAGGTAGAAAAGATCAGCAAAGAAAGGGACGTTGTGAGGTTTGGCCGGAGCCAGTGAATAGTACATCAAACCCACCCCTGCTATAAATAACAGTAGTTTAAAGCTGATTGATCCTATATAGCTTATGCAGCTGGACAAAAGTGGAGCAGAAAAGAAAAAAAAATCTCATTCAGACCTGGACAGGAAGGCTACATTTGCCACAGATTGATTTCTGTTGGAGCAGAGTCTCAAATATCCCAAGTCAGAATGCCCTGATTGAATCCATTCTCTGATCGATATCAGGGACCCCCCTCCTCGCTGCTGCTACCGTCCGAAAATGTTTTCATAATTCGCCCTTTTTTTTTTCCTCAAGCCAGGCCCCGTTTGGTCAGGATCTGCCTTCCTGTGCAGACGCGGCGTTGTCCAGATAATAATCTATTATCACAACAGCATCAGCAAGAAGAATGGGTTTTCCAATATCCGGTGCACACTTTGGCTCACCCCCTCCCCGGCCCTGCATCAGGAAATAGAGGAAGAGGGGGGAGAGCATCAAAAAGGCAAACAGCCTCGGGCAGACCGGGCCAGACAGGCGAAATGCGCCCGCGGTCAGGACAGCTGCAGCGGGGAGAGGTGCGCTCGGTGTGCCGGGGTACGATCAGCGCTCGGCCCGGTGATTAATCCTGTTTCTAGAAACAACAAGCATCCTCAGCTGGTTTGGTGATAGCCGACTCCCCGCCTCTCCTCCCTCTGCTCCCTCTTCCTCCCTCCCTCTCCCTCTCCCTCTCCCACTCTCTCTCTCTTCCTCTCTGTCTCTGTTTCTCTCTGCCCCTGGCCGGCTATGCTCATGATATCACCACATCTCCTCCCTCAGCCGGAGCTACACTGTTGCTGAGCGCACAAGTAGGCTTGCAAAAAAATTAAAAAAAAAAAATCGCCTTGGAGAAAATAATCTCTCAGGTTGTCAGAAGTTACGCGCATCCACTGGAGTGTTCATCATTCACGGGATGGCCTCCTCCACCCCGCTGCTGCTACTGCTGCTGCTGCTGCTGCTGCTTCTCTTTCTCTTTTTCCCCCACTCCTCCTTCTGCTTCTCTCCAGCTTCCCTCTCTTCATCGGTCAGCATCAGCATCCGGGTTCCGCTTCTCCCTCCCCACCTCTCCACTCCTCTGGTGCCCCCACCCTTTTACTACAGCAAAGTTCCACACTGTGTGATTGGCTGCATCAACAGGGAAATGTCGATATACCACGAAATATCAGCCAGTATCAGTGAAAATGCATGTAAGAGAATTAAATAACGGCAAAGACACAGTATTATTGCTGTTGACAGTCTACAATAAGCGCACAAAGAGCTGAGTTGTGATCTATTGTATTTTGTGATCATGTCATAATCTACTAATAATTAATAATAATTGGGTTCAAAACAAAACAAAGCTTAACTAGTGCATGACATGATAATTTAAAGGACCCAGGTAGGTAAAAAATTTTTTTTAAGTTTTGAAAGTTCAAAAGAGTTAATTTTAACAAATGATCTCTGAATTCATCACCCTTGGTAATGGTATGTTTACAAAGTCTCTGTATGTCAGCCCTGGTGAGCCGTCCTGGGTGTACCCCTCCTCATGGCTATCAGCCATGGGCTCATGGTCATACCAGACCAAGTGAGGCTGACTGTCTTTTACTAAGCAAGGGTGTGATTTCCTGTTCTTATGAATTCAATGTTTTGTTTGTGAGAGGAAAATGATGCATAATGACGCACTTTAACACCAAGTGCAATTGAAAACAACAGATCATGGACCCAAAGTGAATGAACTATGGAGCATAATTAAAAAAGTTTAGCAACACATTCCACCAGTTATACAGTTTATATATATAACAACACTGATTTTCATCTTGTTCTCTTGACTAATGTTAAAATCAGGATGTTAGAGGGTGGGTTAGATGTAATATTTAACTCATATCTTCTGTCTGATGATGTTTGGGGCGGCAATGGGAATAGATTGGGAGAAAAAAATCAGTAGAAAATATATAAAAGCTCTGTCCACCACTGACCCTGGGGACAGGTCATAATGTGCCGCTGCAAAACTGAAACTGGGTCCCGCATCACCGCATGCTGTGATTAAGGTTCACATTGTGATATCTGTATGACGCTGACTCCCAAATCTTAATCCCTTTTAATCTTAATCTCTTGATGCGGTCAGGTTGATGGAGCTCAGATTATCCAGTGGTGCTGTATGTGCGTATGTCCATGCGTGTGAGTCTATCTTTGTGTGATGGATGTCGTTCAACAGGGACAAAGCTAAAATGAGAGAAAAGTCGTGAGACTTAAACAAAGTTTTGTCTCACAGAAAGTTTTTCCTGTTGTCTAGTATGACGCACATTCAAAACTCCATCCACACAAGCCCTACTATCAACTTACTTAACTTCCTTAAGTATTGTGTATTAATAAAATATGTCTTTACATTCTTACAGAATGAACTCAGAAACATGCTGTTTGCAACCACACGCTAAAATCTTGATTTTCCTCAGATGAATCGTAAATTGCTGCTGATGTAACGCCACACGATGGTGCTGTTATGCCGCTGTATAGGCCGCCATTTTTCATCCACAACTCTGCTGACAACTCAACAAGTCCACTGCACAGTTTTTTGTCTCTGCTCTACGCACCACAATGATCAGTGGTTACTTAAAGGACAACTCAGCACAGTGTAGATGGCTGTAAGTGACGCAGCAGGTCCAGCGGTCAAAGATAGCACCAGCCACCTTGCAGGGATTTTCATGTGCGCCTCTTTGGGTTGCCTGAGGAGAAGGCAGATCGGTGCAATGAAGGAGCTTTAATAACAAAAACAGGCTTACATGCAGATGGGTAGTGAAAAACTGAAGTTCAGGCAGGCAATTCAAACCCCGACAATCCTCAGGAAAAAAAAACACTGGACAATGAGCAAGTAACAAAACAGAAGTGTGAGGAAACATCAGGGAACAGAAAAGACACAAAACCAGAGTGTGAAGGGAAACACAGAGACTAAATACACAAGGGGAGCAGGAAACAAGACACAGATGTAACACATTAGGGTGGAGCAGGTAGTCACACAGGTGGGAAACACACAGGGGCAGGAAGTGACAAAACAGCAGACGCAACAAAGTGTTTTCAAAGTAATAATAAAGTCCAAGAAGTCACACTGAGAAAGATCAGAGTCTGGAGGGCATCATGAACAGCTGAAGGACAGTCCACGGTAGAGTACTGACGCCACTGATGATGACAGCTCTTCCTCGTCCACCACCACTGCCGCCTGAATAGTGACATATTGACACCGAATATTGGAGATGTACAATCAGTTGAAACCCCGACAATCTCTTTGTCTTGAAAACACAGCCCCACAATATCAGCATTGATTTCCCTATTCATACAACACACAGACATTTTTAATATTAAAGTGCATATGATTGAAATAAACTATGTCTCGTCTCACCCAGTCTGTTTCCTTTGTTATCTGTTGTCATGCAAACACTGGAAACAGCTATCAACATGTTTTTAAACGTTCTGAGCAACAAAATACAACATGTTGTTTCCACATTCCAACTTAAATGGATGAACACACTAAATTTGGATAAACAACACCACAACTCGGGATACGGGACCATCTGAGGAGCACGTGAATGCAGCACTAGACCTCTGACATCCATAAAACTGACCCCTGACCCCTGACCCCACCTAAACAAGGACTGAAAGAGCAACTACATAAAAGTTTATTATTAATTCTAATTTAAATGTGTTTGTCATCTACATTGTCTGTTGTCATCAACAACTGGTAGCTGCTTTATTTTTATCATGGTAATTACTGCTTCATGAATATTGTACTTGTTTAGGAATTAGAATTGGTGGGCACTAATTAATGATCCATGAACTGTGGCTTTTATTACAGATTTTATTTAACAACTCTCACCCAACTCCTGCCTCTTACACACAAACAAACACACACACAAACACACACACATTGCTGTGTGTCCCTCAGCCTTTGCCCTTTAGGCTCCTCTCTGCAGAGTCAGGCAGAAATACTGTATCTCCTCCCCTCAGTGGAAACTCCCTCAGGCATTTAGTTCGACGCCCCTGTGCAGTTGTTGGACATGGTATATCTGATGCCGAATGAAGAGCGGTGAAGTTCCTGTTCATGTAACTGCAACATGTGTTGCCATGTTCAGCATTGTAAAAAGTGTGTGTGTGTGTGTGTGTGTGTGTGTGTGTGTGTGTTCACCAGTGTAAATTAATGATTGATTGCTACCATTTCCTGTGTTGAACAGAAGTCCTTGTAAAGATAAGGCTGTAGATTAAGGTATAAATATAATATAATATGATATATATAAATGTGTGTGTTGGACATGGTTTGTTCTTTCACATGTTGATAACAGGGGAACTTTCCTGGAACCATAGCCCACATGTTTACACAGGTCATACATGCTGTGTACACACATACACAGAGTTACCTCACACACGTGTAAACCTGGACTGTCGATTGGGATGTCACGCTGGCGACATTATTTCCAGCGAAGGTCATTACAGCTGTGTAATTTGACATTTAAGAAGACAGAATACACAGCGAGTGGTGGAGGTGGGGCTCCCTCTTGTGTTCACTACTGGTATTTTTAAAAAGTGAGGATTTCTTAGTAAAACTATTGTAAAACTGTTTTTTTTTACATGGAGTTGTGTAT